CAGGCGGGAACTGCGCGGACGCGGCCCGGGCCGCCGAGAGGCCTCAGCCCGCGGCGGGGTGGGAGTGCGGGGCGCGCAGTAAACACGTGGGCAAACAGGGCAACGTCAGGTGGTGGGAGGTGCCGGGAGCCCGAGTCGCGGACCCTTGAGGAGGGTTCGGCCGAGCAAAGGTCTAGGGAGGAGGGAACGGCGAGTGCAAAGAACGACACGGGCGGGATGGGTTTGGCGAGCGGCCAGGGGCCAGCGTGGCGGCGGCCGCGGCACCGGGACAGACACCGGCAGAGGCCAGATGGTGGGAGGCCTTCCCCGCGGGCCCGCTCGGGGGTTGGGATTCGCCCTGGGAGGGCGTGGCGTGCTTTCTGTGTTTTAAGCCTTCGCCCCTGCTGCCCTGCCTCGTGGACTCCAGGCTGTCAGGAGGAGGAAGCGAGGACACTAGTTAGGGGACTGCTGCAGCCGCCAGGTGAGAAATCGGCGTGGCAGAGGCTGCCGGCCCCCACCGAGGCGAAGGCAGCTGGGCCACAGGGATATGAGAGCAGGAACGGACAGGATAGGGTTTGAGGAAGGAGGGAAAGAGTGGGCAAGGATGAACTCATCGTTGATTTGGGGGCTTGCGCGTAAGTAACCAGGTGTGTTTTGCTGGCATTCACTAATGGTATAGGTTGGGGGCACCTTCAGTTTGAGGTATCTCGAGTGGAGCTACCAAGTAGACTGTTAGATATACCAGCCTGGGAGCTGGCAAAAGAGGGTAGGGCAAATGAAAAGGATTTAGAAATCACTGGAATGTCCATCAGATGGGATGAGATGACCCAAGAATGAAGGGAAGTGAAGCCAGGGTCCAGTGCTCAGGTGGCCAACTTTTACAAGTTGGTTGATGAGAAGGAGCCAGCGAAGAAGGCAGGGAGTTCGGAAAAGGAGTCCGAGAAAGGAAGAAAAAGCAGGACAGTGCGGTGTGGCAGCCAAGAGAAGGTTTTCCGCGGAGGAGGAGGTGGTCAGTTGTGTAAGGTGCTGAGGGAAGCAGAGACTTGATCCTCGGAGAGGCAGCCAGGAGGAGGGTGTGGTGACTCGGAGCAGTGGGGACAGACTGGGAAGGAGTCGCGATGGCAGGACACGGGGCCCTGGGGGAGTTTGTTGTAAAGGAGCCAGGAGGGGGTGCAAGCGGCTGCTGCCACAAACCAGCATCCGGTTTTGGACTTGCTGCTCTTGACTCCTCTCCCAAGAGGCAGATGAGTTTATCCTCTGTCGTGGATACACTGTTGTGGAAACTGAGGCCCAGCGTTCAGGTAATTCAGAGGCCACCAGGTAGTAAAGGAGCCAAGACTGGATCCCAGGTCTTTCTCACTCCAAGCCTGCACTTGTAAGCGCTAAACTGCACTGCCCAGGTTACAGCCACACAGAGTGAGGGGGGCCAGGTGCTACGGTGCCCTCCCCTGAGGGGGCTGCTGCTCCCAGCCAGGCTGCCCCCTGGGGAAAAGTAAGGCCAACATAGAATTCCTTTCTTGGCAAGTGTGATTTGAAAAAGAGCATTTGCCCCTTTCAGGCTGGTTTCCCTTATCCTAAAAGAAAGGCAGGGATCTTATCAGTTACCTGTCTCTGTCTCCAGGGCTGGGTATACAGTGGCACTTGATAAATGCACATTGAGTAAGTGGCCGAATGATTTCCAAGAGCCCTTCTGGCTGAAGTCTGATCTTGTGTTTGGGGTTAGGTGACTCATAATAAGAGAATGAGTGTTGTTAACTTGGAGACCGTGCTCGCCGCGGGCTGGGGTAGTCATGGGGACTTTTTGGAGGTGGAGGACCTGGACCGGCGAAGGCAGAGTAGGCCGTGAACAGGGCGGGGAGGCGGGGTGCACAGATCGCAGCGTTGGAATGGGAACTGCACCAAAAGCAGAAGATGCAAGAAGTTGACTCACGGAAATGTGTAGACTGCCCTGGCTTGGGAGCCATGGTGGGGAACCCTGGGGAGCGAGTGCTAGAGGATATAACGCCGTGTGGTTGCCTGTGCGGTGTAAGCAGGCATGTTCTCAGCAGGGAGCGGTTTTGCCCCCCCATGGCCTCTGGAGACATTTTTGGTTGTCACAGCTGAGGATGAGGGGCCGTGATGGGCACCTAGTAGATGGAGACCAGGAACATTCCTAGACATCCCACAGGGCACAGAGAATGATCTGGCCCCACCTGTCCGTAATGCCAAGATTGAGAAACCTAGGTATAGGGAAAGCGTGTGGGCCTTAAGACCTGTTAGGTGTAGGTTTGGTGCCCGTGTGCCCCACTCCCCAGCTGGGCAGGCAGGAGCCTGACCTGCAGGAGATGTGGGGAGAAGTGGAGGAGACTGCGCATTGTGTGGTGGGGGGAGAGGATGGCGGCCCGGAGGGCAGTGGTGGAGGACAGGAGATGTGACCAGATCGGGGATGTTTTTGAAGCCTGAGGTGACAGTACTTGCCGATGGCATGTGGGCTGAAGGAGAGAGGAATCAGGCTGGGGGCGAGATTTGTGGCCTGAGCCCCTAGGTGGACGGAGGTGTCACTGGCTGCGGTGGGAGGAGGGGCAGATTTGGACGCCTGCTGGGAAACAGGAGTCCGCGCTGGGCAGGCTAGGGGTGGGTGCCGGACACTAGGCATCCAGGTGCGGACAGACAGTCGGCCACTGGCTATTCCTCTGGAGTTGACGACGAGGTCAGAGGGAGGGCTACACGCTGGGGAGATGTCAGCTTATTGCTAATAAAAGGTAATCGGCAATAAAATGTGTTTCGATGTGTAAGTTCCCGAGTCCAAGGATGCTAGAAGCCGCGAGGAAGCAGTCCATGCTTTCACCACCCCACAGAACCCCCGGGAACGCGGTAGCTCCTGTGCTCAGTGCCCCAGCCACGTTTGAGCGTGACAGCTCAAACACCACGTGTGCCATTGCTGTGGATGTCGTGGTTTCTCCAAACCGTTTATCAAAAGCAGTGCCGTCTCCTCGGTGTACGTGGCAAACGAATTTCAGTGCATTGTGGAACCATGGAAAGACTGCTCTGTGTCACATGTAAGACAGTTGGGGTCTGGGGACACCTGGCTGGCTCAGTACAGCGTGCAACCCTGGATCTTGGGGTCATGAGTTGGAGCCCCACGCTGGGGGTAGAATTTACTTAAAAGCGCGCAC